CTTGCCTGCTTTTTTTACTCCGCTGACAGACTGTTTAGCCATGGGAATGTTGGGATTGCATTTTGGATCCCTTTCTTTTTTCCCTCCTCGCTTCCCTAACAGCTGATGCCAGGCCAGACTCCATCGCTGCATGCCTGCTAGTCTAGAATTACCGCAGCGTGGCCACATCGCGGAACAGCGAAGTCAGTACATCGTGTAGTGCCAAAGGTCTTGCTCTGATCTTCATCACACGGGCTGCACGTTCAGCGCTCAGCATTAACGCAGAGCTGAGCTAGAAGTCACTGGTGTAAATTATTCAGTGCAGCTTGGCATTAAGACTCGAAAACATCTCCCTTGGTTGTGTCTAGTTTTTATATCAGGCACGTAATCTGACCACCTCCCAGACGTACGTTAAGCAATACTACTGTCTGTCAGGGCTCTGCCCTCACATTTACATCCCTGAAGACAGGTGTGCAGTGCAGTGTTCTGTTCCTGCAACACTGCTTGGGAGATGGTGCTTTTCTTACTGGGTTTTTGTTGAACTTGGTGCAAAAACAACATGCCAAAGTGCTCCAAAAGAAGGAAATGCAAAAATAAGGGTGGCACATGCAACTTAGTTTCCTGCTTCCACACTGTAACTGCCCGCGGTCACAAGCTATTTCAAGCAAAATAACACTGTGAGCAAAGGACTTAAGTAAGGGGAGGAAATACTGATTTAATGTACTCTCACTCCAGGATGCTGATGCCTCTTACTCAAGAAAGAAGAAGTAAGGACAAACGTGCACCAAATCCTGCTTGTGCTAAGGCTGAGAAACTTTTTTCATATTGCGTGACTGCAAAAAAAAAAAGCTTTTTTTTATCTGTTGTACCTTTGTCATCATATAACTTGACAAATCTATCAAGCTGTATACACATCTGACTAAATAAAAATCTCTTTCTAAACATACCTGTTTCATGTCAAACTCCCGTAGGCGGAACGGCTAAGCTTACAAGAATTGAGACAGAAGAGGCCAGGCAGTGTTATTTGTTTTTTCTGCTTCTGTGACATTGGCAAATACTTGGTAAGCAGGCTAAAAATTGCATACCCACAGGATCCTGTTTCCCTCACTTCCATTCCTGATGGACCTTCAGCAAAAAAAAAAAACCAGAAGTAGAAGCTTGTGAAATAAAGAGTAAGGATGTATAGTCTGTGTTTGAAGTGTTCCTGTGGGAAAAGGAGATTATATTTCATCTTTGCTATACAGGTGGTCTGAGAGCAAAATGTGTATCATTATGATGTGTATTTAGAGCTAAATCCCTTAACTTCTGGCACAACGTGTAGAACTACTTAGTCTTTAGATCTCTTAGCACCATGGCAGAGTCCACGGTCTTCTGTCTTCTGGTTGTTTCGTAAAGTCAGAGGATTGGGCAGTGTATAGCGAAGCAGTGGGGAAGGGAGAGCGCGATGGTGTAATTGTAACCCCTGTGTAGGCAGTACTCAGCTTCCCTCTGAACCTGTCGAGCATCATGGAGAGAGGAGCAGGGGAAAGCGGCTGTAGTAGAGCAGCAGATTGCTCACAGCCAAGACACTAGTGCTTGTGTCAGAGCTGACCTAATTAGGGCGGACATTGCAGGACAGGCAATTTAAGCATGAAATAGATGCTGCATTCCCAGCTCGGTCAGAAACAGGCCCTTCCATACAGACCAGACAGCACTGGTGTTCTCGGCACTGGACAGCAACAGCCCTGAGGAACCAAGGATTGTACTTTTTAAGACATTTGCCATCCCATCGACTCCCAGTTCATCCATTAGCTAAAAGTACCTCTGTAGTCGTTACTCAACTGTACTTGCAAGTCTGGTGACCTTCTTGCTGTTGACAAAGGCCTCAGTAACGTTTGGACGTACCTCAGGCCACACGCTATCCAGGTAAGAAAAATTCTTACTTGTGTCATTGAGGGATAATAAAAGAACAACCACTCATTTATAAATTACTGAAACTTACCAACCACAGCAAAGAATCAGCCAAGAGTCATGTTTTTAACATGACACTTAACAAAGATGCAAACTACTGTCTAGGAAAAAAAACACTACCAAAACTGAACAAATGATGACAGTTGTCGTGTCTCGGGCTGTTCTGGAAGAACGAAAGGTTCATTTCACTCGCTAACACACCAGTTCCTGTACTGTGGTTTGTGAAACGTGCTGTAGAGGCAGCAGTAAGTCTGCATGACAAAATACAGCACATATGCAGATGCTGTTCACAGGATGCTTTAGCTGCCATCCTCTAATCCCCTGAAGATTTGGCAGTGTGGCACTCAGCAGGCAGCTCCCTCTCCAGTTTACATGCAGCTTTATCTCCTTTTTTACTACAAAACCAGCCTAAGCTTTTGTGCTCAAAGAGGTCACTTCTATCGCTTGAGCTAAGGACAGTTGCTGCTAGACAACTAAACACCGCCCCACCTTCATGGACTGTGCTATTGCCACCACCAGCATGAGAAAGAACAGCATGGAAGGAGTGACGGCAGCGATGACAGGTGGTGAGGAAGTTGCGTCTTTCAGAGAGGAAGCAGACATTCAAGGAAAATGCAGGAAGTAGAAACTTTCCAAAAAGGAAAAAGCATTTGGCATTTGAAAACCTCACTTCCCCTGATACCTCGTTCCATTAAACTGATTCCTGTGGCTTTATGGTGCATGAATGGGACAGAGGCAGTCTCCAGGACTTAATGTTTTTTGTAAAGGCTGAAAAAAGAGAGTGAAAATTCTCTAGTAAGGATTTAAAACTCATTAAACTGATCTCATTAAACAAAGATTCTCCAAAGGCAGGATGAAGGTGTCTTACACTTTGTGTGATGAACATCACGGTCTGTAAAGCCAGCCGGCGTTGGTAAGAATTAAGTAAAGCTGATGCACGCAGCTGGTTAGAAAACAGAGCAGTTCTCAGTGGTCGCACAGGAAAATGGTGGGGGGGTCCTGTTCTAAGCTCAGCCCTGGATATTCATTCCAGTGCTAACATTCCAGCTGTAATCCAAATAGCACCGTATATTATATGCTTACGGGAGCTGCAGACAAGACCAGACTTGAGGGTGCTCTAAATTCCTGATAAATCAAAGAAATGCTCCAAAACAAACAGGACACAGTTCAAGGCTGCGCAGACAAAACAACACACTTAACCAAGGCACTCAGCTGCACAAATTTGCAATACAGGACAAGAGGCTGTAACTCGTGGTTCTGCCAAAAAAAAAAAAAAAAATCTAAAGAGGGTTACAGAAAATCGTAACTTGAATCAGGGTCATACTGTTGCAAAACATGCTGGAATGTGTGAACTGGCTTGGTGTGTTAACGAATCAGGGGCTGTAGGACGTGCTGCCTGCGATAGTGGGGACAGGATGTCACAGCCCTTTAGAGCCCAACTCCACATTCCTGTGCGTAAACAGGAATTCTGTGCATCACTAACTCTGGTCCTCCATCTGGTACCAATCGGGATCTCTGCTGGAACACCAGGGCCGGTTACCAGCAACACTTTCCAAGAAGGCTTAGTGGCAGATGGACAGAACCAGAAGAAAGGAAAATGACAACAACTCTCTCCAGTTTTCCCTCAACTGCTTTATTCGGTTTACAGAAGGCAAAGAATGAGGGCAGAAATTATAACCATTTTCAAATAAAAGACTGCTGCTGCAAAAAAAGGTAATTAAATGTTCTATGACCATACAGAAGACAAGTAGTCAGAGGCTTACAATGATGCAGGGAGGTTTAATCAGATTCAGGAAAAAAACCCAAATTTTCTAACTGCTGCAAGAGCAGCAAAGAACTGGAGCAAACTATTTGACAAGTTCATGATACTCCTGGTATTGAAAGTTTTAAATCAGATTAAACATTTGCCAGGAATATTTCCTTTGGAGAGGGAGCTGAAGTAGGTGCTCTCTAAAAGCCCCTTCCGGATCAGTTTCCCTGACTGTATTTCCAGACACAGCTCACGGCCAAACAAGGTGATTTGAGGTTACTGGCACTTTGGTATTGACACTCCCGCACGCCAAACAATCACCTTCTAAAAGTTGCTTCCATTAATGTTCTGTGTGAATTTCATCCTGTATGTTCAAGTGTTACACCATGGAGTTTGACAGGTGTTTCCTTACCACTTCTGAATTCCACTACACAGTTTGCTTATTTTTCTTTAAATCATTTATGGTCACCGATCAAAAGAAGTGGCTAACAGCCAAATAATAAGTATGCTCCAAATTATACAACGCTGGGTGTTCTAAACCAGTACTAATTCAGTTACGGAGCAGTTCCGATTTAAATTGATTCTACAGGTTAAAAGAAAGACAATTACCCTGACAATTACCTTGCTGGGCGTATGCCAGCAGTGACCACCCTGTAACTACTGATCTACAGAGAAAACACATTTACGTGCTAATGACTGGTGGTAATGAACAGGATAAACAAACCACTGGAGAGATGACCCAGAGCTGTCTTCAAGGAGACCTGTAATATTACAAACCAACTGCCAAATTCTGTTCTAACCTCTGGTATGGCTAAAAAAAAATAAATCAATTCTGGCACAGACAGCTGGATTCCGCTCCCCCCCCCCCCCCCATCTTCAAACTCTCGCTGTATTCGTGGAAGACTGGTTAGTGATGTGGACATAGGTTGCAAAAATCAATATATATCTATTTACATATATAAAATAACGTGGATATTGAAAGAAGGAAATAAAATTAACCCATTTGGACTTAAATTCCTTCTCTCCACTAATTACAGGTTTACTTTCATCAGTAGGTCACACAGGTTACTAATGTGTCAGAATGCACACTGGTTTATATAAATTCTCTTTGCCCCCAAAACAAGTACTTTGGTAAAAATCATCCCTTACAACTTTGTTAAAACACAGCTGATAACTTACGACAACTAAGGAAGATCAGCTAAAGTCATATATTAGACCAAATGCTAAAACTGAACTCCGTTCAATATAAAATGGTAAGAATAAAAAAAAAAAAATCATATAAATAGTCGTATGTACACTTTGGTTACCAACTCTATGGTTGACGGTACTACAGTGAGCTGTAACCTGTCAGTGCAAGTCACCTGTCCAACTATTAAAAATAAAAAATAATAATTAAAAAAAAAAAATCAGAATGCACCAAAAGTAGTTAATGATCAGAATTACGCTGCTCTTCTCTAAACTAGAGAAGAGAATTTCAGCATCTCCTGGCTCATTGGCCACACGGGCAATGGTGTCTCTCACATGTTCCAGCAGCAAGAAAACAGTTCAAAACTTCCTGCCTGCCGAAGGTTCTGGCTAGCACCATTTCCGTGCAAATTACCTACGCTGGCTTGGCACTGCCATCCAACGCCATTTTGAGAGTAAAATCTAATTTGTAGTGTATAAATGTAGCATGAACGTTTGATTCCCAACATGCAGATGGAAAATACAAAATAATAATACTACTAAAAAAAGTGCCACAGACATTCTAGAACAAAGGCAGATGCAGAAGTTCAGATGAATAAATGGGGTAGCCAAGAGGTGGGTCCGCAGCTTGCACAGTAAGGTTGCGCAGAAGAACGGGGTGTGCCTGGATGCTGTAACGTTCTTCATCATCATTTGTAGCATACAGCAGCTCCCAGGACAGATTTGCCCACTGACCTCGGACAGCTTCATCATTAAGTTTTCCCACTTGTACTAACAATTCCTGAAGAGTGAGGACTCGCCCAGTGTAAATTCCCTTTAAGAACAAACAGATCAAAATGTTCAGTACATTCTGTGAGCATTTTGGTTACAAAGCACTAAATCAAGCTGTGGGGCTACATGCTATCAGTATCATCCCTTTAAAAACAGAGAAGTATATAAACTAGTCTCTTCGGTTCAATTCTTCCATCTAGGAAGATAGTCATGAAATATTGCTGCATCCAAAGAACAATACGGTGTGATTTTAAACAATGGTGATGTCAGCTCCTGTCTAGTACAAGCAGACTTTGGTTGCACAGATTCCATGTTGTTCAACACAATTAAAAAGGAAAAAAAATAAAAAGAAAAAAAGCCATGGAAAAGAAAAACAAAGTTTGACCCTGCTTACTAGTAATTTTTCTTCTTACCATATTTGGGTCATGCCCCAGTGAAAAAAGGTATGGCTTTTCCTGCAGAACTGCTTGCTGCCACTCAAGGTCCGACACCAGCCCAATGTACCAATCGTTTTCATATTCTTCCAGATAATTAACCAGCTCTTTGAAGTTCTCAACTGGACCCAGGCTTGCTTTGTCAACCATAAGTTTAAAAGTGTATCTGAAAGGTACAGAAAGCCATACAGTAAGTCGTGCAGCAAAAGACAGGAGGAAGAAAGCCTCTTCAGGCTAGAAAAGGCAGAGAGGCACCATCAAATGTTATCAAGCACTAGCAACTTGGTGAGTTATTGCTTGTCAGCCGAGTCACTAGAAGTTAGTAAGGGTATGCTTTTAGCTCACCCAGATGTAAAACACATTAGCTTAAACATCCTTCATTCACCTCAAACACTGTTACCGCTCCCTGATAATGGAAAGTGCCACACATCTAACTCCATCACAGTCCTCTTAGATTATGGGGACAATGACGGGATGGGGATAGATCCGGGCTTGCTAGCAAAAAGCCTGAAAGCGGCATGCTGGCACTAGATTTGGAAAAGGAAGGAGGGGTAACCGGGCTCCTTAGGACTAAGTCTGGGGGTGGCAGAATTACAGCTTCCTCCAGCAAAAAGGAGAAGGGACCAATAGCCCAGCTGAAGTGCTTATACACTAATGCACGTAGCGCAGGCAACAAACAGGAGGAGCTGGAAGCCATTGTACAGCAGGATAATTATGATGAAGTCGCCATCACAGAAATGTGGTGGGATGACTCACATAGCTATAGTGCTGCCATGGATGGCTATAGGCTCTTCAGGAAGCATAGGCAAGCAAGGAGAGGCAGGGGGGTGGCCCTGTATGTCAGGGAGTGTTACGAATGTCTTGAACTAAATGATGGTGACAATAGGGTTGAGTGTTTATGGGTAAGAATCAGGGGGAAGGCCAACAAGGCAGACATCGTAGTTGGAGTCTGTTATAGACCGCCCAGCCAGGATGAGGAGGCAGATGAAATATTCTACAGATGACTGGGAGAAGTCTCAAGATCACGAGCTCTTGTCCTTGTGGGGGACTTGCTGGATATCTGCTGAGAATAAAATCCAGCAGGGAGGGGACAGTCTAGAAGGTTCCTGGAGTATACTGGGGATAACTTCCTGACTCAGCTGGTGAGGGAGCTGACTAGGGAAGGTGCCCTGCTGGACCTGCTGTTTGTAAACAGGGAAGGGCTTGTGGGGGATGTGACGGTAGGAGGCTGTCTTGGGAAGAGAGATCATGAAACGACAGAGTTTTTGATTCTGGGAGAAGCGAGGAGAGGGGTCAGAAGAACTGCTACCTTGGACTTCCAGAGGGCAGACTTTGGGCTTTTCAGGAGCCTAGTTGACAAAGTTCCTTGGGAGGCAGTCCTGAAGGGCAAAGGAGCCCAGGAAGCCTGGATGTTTTTCAAGAAGGAAGTCTTAAAGGCACAGGAGCAGGCTGTCCCTGTGTGCTGAAAGACAAGCTGTTGGGGAAAAAGACCGGCCTGGCTGAACAGGGAGCTAGAATTGCAACTTAGGGAGAAAAAGAGTATTTATGGCCTTTGGAAGGAAGGGCAGGCCACTCGTGAGGACTGCAAAGAGGTAGGGAGGCTATGTAGGG